AAACACATAAACCACAGTAAACAGGTTTGGCTTTGTGCTCTGACGTACAAAGCCTTGCTTCACGCGTGCACGAACATACACAATCGTACACACACTTGGCCAAAAAGCATTCCAATGAAGTCATTTTCCCACCCAGATTAGTCCAAATGCTTAAAGTATTAATGCTTGCCGCTAAGCCCAAAACACACACACATACTTCCGCAAGCAACAATTCCCATAAAACACGCCATTACACTAGGGCCCGAACAGATCCCCTGTAACAATGGGGTAGGATTGGCTCTGAAGTGGGTCTCATGTGGATAAAAGAACAGTGTGGCTATTTGTACTTCTGAGCCACAGCAGATTCAAATGGTGTCTTCTATGATTTAACATTTTTCACTGCGCAGATGTTCAAACTAAAACTTCAGCTACCCTGGGTTCACAACTGCCACCAGGTATAAAGCTTGGAATATAATAAGATATGATAAGAGAAGAAAATATAAATTCATGCAAAGAATTTGCAGCAATGATGTTTTGTGATTAAACTGTTCATTGAGTGACACTCCTCAGAGCTGCCAGTACACATAACATATAATGTATGAACTAGTTGTTTCAATGTAAGAATTTCAAGCACAGTCTTCCAGTGCAGTTAGAAAAGAGAGTTAGAGCATCAAGTCAGTTTTTTTCCTGAGGGTGAATGCCTTCAGGTGGTTTAGGCAAATCCCATTTTTGGCTTGTTTACACTTGTGTTTTACGTGTCAGGCAGAATTTAGCAACTCTAAAGTGGCAATACAGCACCCTGCTGTGTACTTCTGGCAGACATCTTCATATTCTCAGTCATCAGAGCTGCTGTAGCACTTCGCTCTCCTGCTTTTCTTCCCCTTAAGGAATAAAATCTAGTTTTAACATAACAAAAATAAATAATCTTTGAGCCTGCGTTGAGAGATTTTATGGCCCCTGTCTACAAAACCAAGCAAGCAAATACCTGCAGTAGCAGAGTGGAAGTCAGACCTCTTGTGCAAAGACAGATGCGTGAGAGGTGTGCTGTGGTAATACTGTAAACAAGCCATTTTCACAATAAACCAGCTTGTTACATAAAGCACATCATTGTACAGTCTAGCTAACGTGCTGAAACAAGCCTTTTGTTTTTACATTGAATTCCTGACATAAGGATCACAGTCACAACAGTCAATAAGCAGAGTAAATGTGGGTTGTTTTTTTCCTGTACACATATGTAACAGACAACTCACACACTCTTCTTCTTCCTAGGTTGACATTTTAGGAAATACTTATTTGCTGTCTTGCCAAGACTTAGATAAAAGGATTGATGCCACTCTAATGTCTGTATGGTAAATATGACACTCGGAAGCAACACAATCCACCTATCACCACCTCTAAATTTAACTAATTAACATGCTCTGTAACTGTTTTGTTTTAGCAATTAACCCACGTAAAAAACAGCTTTTTACACCTCACTTTTTGTATGGATTAAAAACAAAATGTTCAACTAACTACTTTCTCCAAGACAGAGGTTCCCAAACTTTTACATGTTAAGGATCACCCACAATAGATGAACATTAGGCCATGGACCATTGTCACTATAAATATCATATATCATATGATCATATGATCATATATATCATATATATAAATACCATATCACTATAAATCAATAGTGTGTGTACTTGCTGTCCCAACATCGAAAAAATGGGCTGAAAGTTCAAATATTCTATTCCTCCTTTTGCTGGGGACACCTGTTTGTCCCAGGAACCCAGTCATAGGGTTTAAGATGTATTGTTTGTGAGCTATAGGCATATGTTAGGGATGGGGATTTATAAGTAAATTACCTAAATAATGATGTGATTTTTCAACAAAAACAGATGTCGCATACATGAGTAGCACCAAAAATAATGAGATTGGATGCAGCTGCACTGTGAGCTCATTAAAAACTCAAGTTGTGAAAAGCGAGTTTCTGCCTGCTATCGGCCTCCATCTGACCCTCTTCAACTAAAACTGCCAGGAATTACTAAGAGGGTTTTCTAATTTCATGCTCCTGTTCCCATTTTAGGGAATTAAGACTAAAATGTCTCAAGGCAGCAAACAACTTAACACAACTGACTTAACATTAATTTAACCTCAACCACACAGTAAATAAAACTGAACCTAAAACCATGCAAGAGCCACACTGGATTGACAAAAAGCAACTAGTGTGCAAAATAAGTACTCAAACTACTGGGCAAACTTTCCCCCAATCCCCCTGAGTAAATCAAAAAAAGGCATAGCGGATTAGTGCACTGTCGCAAAGCTCCTATTGACCTAGAAGTATGTGTGTTCATCACAACTAAATTAGGAAGCACTTGTGTATTTTATTACGTGCGCCTGTGCGTAAGAGCGATTAAGCTCCAATCATATCAATACACGTAATCCCTTTACATGGGCCTTTACATTTGAGACTGAAAGCTCGACATCCGTCGCAGTGGAAGCTCCTCAGAGTGAAATCCATGCATTCCAGTGGTAATCT